TACTTTAGCAAATTTGTGATAGAATAAGATCTATGGAATGGTGATTGCGATAAAATAACTTCTATTTTTCTTTTTCTAGTCTTAGTATCTGTAACGTAATAAGAAATATATATTTGGTCTGTGAAAATAAATATAATTTAAAAGCTGTTGGAACCCCAAAACCACCTTAAACCTTAATAGGTGACTGTGATCTGAGTCAAATATGGTCAACAACTTATGCTTCTTAGATTATAGATTAACTTGATTTTTTATTTTTCTTGTTCTGTACAATGACTAGAGAGAATAAAATGAGGTCAGGGATGAAACTCTCCTGACTTGTTAATTAATGGCCCTTGTTATACTAGATTAACTTCCTTTTTGTTATCCTATTTTGCTTAAACCAGACGACAGAAAACCCATGACCATTACACCCTCTGTAAAAAAATGTTAAATGTATCCTTTCCCAAAAGAAACACTGCCTGTAACCAATCAAACTGCTGTAACTCTGTACCAACCTTGTATGAAAAATGCTGTAATCCCGCTAAAAATTCCTGTCTCTGCCTGTATAAATGAAATCCTAACTTCCCTACTATGGAATGCTGACTGTATTCCTTTGGAGTTGGTGTTTCTGGGTGGGTCATCCCTAAACTCTGTGCTTGAATAAACTGTCTTTAAATTAGAATCTGACCCTTTTGATTATTTTAGGTTGACAGGTCTCTGCTCTGGCTCCTGACAGAGTTCCTAAAATGCTTATCATTTCCTGAGTGAAAGGGGTGACAGGAACATCTTCTGTTATAATATTTGGTCTCAGTCCCCAGTTCCTCACACAAGAGCTTCTAAGACCTTTAGGATCTCATGAATGGTTAAGAATGTCTTTTGTATGCTAATGAGATGACTGGTGACAGGGGTCCCTAGACAGCTTCAGGATGGGGGAGAGTTGTCAGAAAGACCAAGGCACTTCCACCAAGGCATGATTAGAGGGTTGGGACCTTTATTCCTATCCTGCCCCCATCGCTAGGGAGGCGAAAGGGACAGGAAATTGAGCTAATCACCAATGGCCAATGATTTCATCAATCATACCTATAATGAGACTGCCATAAAACCTCTAAATGATGGGATTTAGAGACCTTTCAGGTTGGTGAATGCATCCACATACTGGGAGGGTGGTATACCCCAAAATTCCATAGGGACGGAGGGTCCTGTACTCAGGGTCCTTCCAGACTTGCCCTGTGTACCTCCTCATCCGGCTATTCATTTGTAGCCTTTATAACATCTTTTATAATAAACTGGTAATAGCAAATAAAGTGCTTCCTTGAGTTCTTCAAGCCATTATAGCAAATTATAGAACCCAAGGAGGGGGTTGTGTGAATCCCTGATTTGTAGCCAAGTCGGTTAGAAGTACCAGAGGTGCAGGGCTGATGACTGGCATTTGTAGTATGGAGCAAGTTTTGTGGGACTGAGCCCTTAACCTGTGGGGTCTGTGCTAAATTCGGGTAGTGTCATGATTGAATTAAATTGTAGGATACCCCATTGGTGTCCACAGAAAATTAGAGAATTGCTTAGTGTGGAAAACCCACACATTTGGTAGCAGAAGTATTATGAGTAGAGAAACAGTTTTACTTTAATATGTTATCACTGATTCTTCTAAATTTAATTTGTTTAGAGCTTGGAAGACTGATGGTCTAAAACTCTAGAAATTATCCACCAATTTATTCATATCAGAATATGCCTTTCTAGTAGTGTTCTTCAGAGAAAGCAGCTTTATAGTGGTTAAAAGTCTTAAGAGTTCTATTTGCTCTTTTTATACGAGAAGTTTTTTTGACGATGACACATTTGTTCATTCTTTCCCTAGGATGCTGAGATGGGTGTGCATTTCCTATCTCTGGATAGGTAGGACTTTTCGTCTAATAGAGAAAACTGTGACTGATATAACAACTTAGAAATGTGGATCCTACATTTATTTTAAAGTATCTTTAATTAACCTGACATATTAATGCTGGCCTGCGTCATGGCAAGAAAATATCAGAGAATACTCTAGATTGGGATTAGAGATGTACATACCCTTTATCAAAGCTGAATTTTTACTTATAGTTGCTTCATTCACTAGAATCATTGCTTGGATGTATTCTGTCAAGGAAAGGAGAAAAGGAGTAAAAACAGCATCACCAACACCTTTATTCATGGTGCCAGCTACTGTGCCAAACAATTTACATAATTTATCTCATTTAATCTTCACTACTTCCCTCCGAGGTTATTATGACTATCTGCATAGAGATAAAGAAACTGAGGTTCAGAGGTTAAACTACTTATTCCAGGTCATTCAGCTAGGAAGTAATAGAACTGGATTCAAACCTACATATATTTGACTCATGAAGGATTGAGAAGGAACATTAAAACAAAAAATAGTAGCAACTTTTTTGACAAGCACATAATGGACTGTCATAAGAACAACCGGAAAGTACTAAGAATAGTCTGGGGAAAA